CTACAGGGCAGCATCTCCTAAAGCTTTGTGGCCTCCCTTCTCCAGTATATTCCAGCCATTTCCCCTCAGTGGCCTTCCACAGTATGGCAGGCTCCCTGGGATCATGTCCCTCTCTCCCAGGCCTGAGGTCCTGGCTCCAGAGCTGGAAAAGGTAGGAGAAACGGTGCACCCTGGACAACAGCAAAGGCCTCTTAGCAGACATGTGTCGGCAGCTATTAGTGGACAGAAGTAAGGCCCATGGAGAAGGAGGTTCTGTGGGGAGAGGAGAGGCCTGGGAGTGGCTCTGAGAGATAAAAAGAAAAGAGAAGACTCCCTTGGGGCTGTGTCACTGGCTTCCCTCAGAGACCAGGGGACATACTGGTCCCTTCTGGGGGCATGATCGCTGCTGTCCACATAGGGGTATTGGCAATAGCATGTGAAACCTGCCCTATTCCCTGAGCTGGAACCCCTTCCTCAGTTGGGTATTTGTGCATCTCTGTGCTTGGCACAGGCTGGTTGGGGCTAGGAAGTCTAAGGCAGAGATTACCTGCTGAGACCCCTTCACTTCTTACCCTAGGCCCTGGGAATGCTGCTCAGGGCTAGCCCAGCCAGGAATTGGTAGTGCAACATATCCTTGTGAATAGCACGTGAAACCTGCCCTATTCCCTGAGCTGGAACCCCTTCCTCAGTTGGGTATTTGTGCATCTCTGTGCTTGGCACAGGCTGGTTGGGGGTAGGAAGTCTAAGGCAGAGATTACCTGCTGACACCTTTTCACTTCTTACCCTGGGCCCTGGTAATGCTGCTCAGGGTTAGCCCAGCCAGGAATTGGTAGTGCAACATATCCTTGTGATCAGTCCCACCGAGGCCAAGGACAGATGGCTAAGGAACTAGATGTCATGAAAGTCCCCAGTCCCTAGTAAACTGTGGTCCCTAAACAGTTAATGGCCAGGAGAGAGGACGGTCCTGTTTTATGTTTTGAGGTAGTTGGTTCCCAGCCTGGAGCTCTGGAGCTGGGTGGCCTTTGCTCACTGGCTAGCCACTCTTGCTTCTACCATATGTAAAAATAGGAAAGTTTTCTAGAAAGTTCTTCCTTATAGTAAGCATTGTCTTCCACACTGGAACTACTTAGGGAGCTAGCCCCAAGGATTTCATAGCTGGGGCCAGGGGTGTGATAGGGGCAAGCTGCTTTGGCCAAGTGGCCTATACCACCCTGCTTCCAAGTACCCTCCTGGTCCCAAAACAGCCTACCTCACTGTGCCCAGGGTCTGACTACTCTGGAACCCCTAGGCCTTGGTCCCTTCCCTGTTTCCCTCCATGGCCACACAGGCACACCTCAGAGGCTGTCTCAGCCTAAGGAACAAAAGTCGTGAAGAGCACCCTCAGTCCTCTGCCCACTAGCCTGGCCACCTTAGCCTGAAAACCCCTCTCACTTGCCTGCTACTCACCTGCTCCGGACATCTGCCTGCAGCCCTGGGCAGCTGTTACTCCCCTCCTTCCAATTGCTTACTTTCTCAGGTCATCAGCTACAAGCTGTCATCAGGCTCCTCCTCCCTGGGTTTCTGGGCCATGCCCCTCCTTGCTGGCCTTCCCTCCTGCCACATTTGGGACAGCAATTAACTCCTTGGCCTGCTCTGAAGTGGGGCCTCCCATCTTCTTGTGCCCAGACTCTTGCTGGCTGACATTACAGCCCCTCCCCCAAGGCCTCAGGGGCCACCAAGTCACTGTCCATTCATAGCCCTGCAGCAGGCCAAAAATGCACCTAAAGATATGCCCATGTCTTAGCCCCCAGAACTGAAATGTAACCTTATTTGGAAATAGGGTCTTTGTAGATATGATTGAGTTAAGGGTCTTGAGATGGGCGGATTATCCTGGATCATCCAGGCAGTCCTCGTGTGCAATGACAAGTGTCCTCATAAGAGGAAAGCAGAGGGAGATTTCACACATGCATACCCATAGAACAGGAGGTCACATAACTGCAGAGGCAGAGAGTGGGGTGATGTGACCACAGCCAAGGACCTCCTGGAGCCATTAGAAGGTGGAAGAGGCAGGAAGGATCCTCCCTTAGAGCCTCTGGAGGGAGTGCAGCTGCCCATGCCTAGATTTGGATCTCTGGCCTCCCAAACCAGGAGAGAATCCATTTTTGTTGTCAGTGCCCTAATCTGTGCTGCTTTGTGAAACCAGCCACAGGACACCGTTGTGTAAGCCCCAACTGGCCCACCGAGGCACTCCCACCCACAGAGCCCTGCCCACTGTACACTGTGGGCCTTCCCAGGCTGCTTAACCTCAACACACTCCGTGCTTTATGGTTTCGGAAAGGTCTAGTGGGTGATGGAGAGTGTGTCTGTGATGGCTCCTTTGGCACAATTCCTGTTGCCATAAAGACTCCAGCCTCAGGGGCCAGCTCAGTCCCCTGAGCATTAGTGCCTGTGTCCTGGTCACCATAGTGCAGAGGGCAACAGGGCCCTTCAGCACCCAGGCTGCTGGGGTTCTCCAGGGCCCCAGACGGTGAGGGAGAAAATGATTCTGTGCTGGCAGTGGTGGCCTGCCCTGTAAGGCCCCTTCCTTCAGTCCCTGCCCTCTTAAGACCAGAGCCTGGATCCCTTGAGGGCAGGGCCTGGAGACCAGCATGCGGGCCAGTGATGGCTGGATGCATGCCTCCTCCACATTCTCAGAGCAGTTCCTCTGCCTTGGCTCCTTGGCCCTGCCTCCTCAGGCCCTTCAAGGAGGGGTTGTCTCCCTTGGGGCCCTGCCCCTGCCCCTGTCCCCGGACTGCAGGACTGCAGATGCTGGCTGGCTGCCCCTCTGACAAGCCCCAACTTGTCTAAATCCAAGCAGTGGATTCAGCTTAGGCTCCAGCTGGGCCCCATCACAGCCAGAAGGCACCTGACCTGCAATAAGTGTTTGGAAATGTCCCCTTCCCCAACCCCATGCCCTCCTCAAAGCCTGCTCTTTGGCCACTGTCCCTTTCACAGAACAAATAGCCCCCCCCCCAGTGAGTCACACCTGTGACATTTGTTGTATGTGTATGTGTGTGTTCATGTGTGCATGGGCATGCGTGTTTGTGTGTTGGTTTCCGTGTGCTTGTGTGTTCATGTGTGTGCATTTGTGTTTGTGTATATGTCCTCCACCAGCTCTGGGATCCACCTAGCCCTCAGGTAGCATTTCTCATGGCCCCCTGTCCCTCTCCAGGCTGTGCCTGCTAAGGGCCTCAGGCCATGGGGCACCACAACCAACCTGATGGTCTTGCTAAAACTCTGCACCCCACTCTGCCCACTCTGCCCCTATCCAATCTGTTCCCAAGTCCAGGAGCTCCTACACAAGAACAAATCAGGCTGGAAGCTGTCCCCTGCACCCATCTTCTCAGCCCACCCATAGCCTGAGGCTCAGTGTGCTCACAGCCAGGGCCCTAAACAAGACCCAAGTCTCCAAGCCACCTGAAAGTGCAGGTAGGGGCCACCAGTTTGCAGTGACAACCTTGGTGTTGCCAGATTTTTCCTAAAGCCCAATTTGCATCAACTTTACTATTATTATTATTGAATAGTTCACAATACATTTGATAGTGGAGTAATTTATCTTCACACTGCAGTCAAGACTACTGCCCTTCTCCTACTACCCATCAGTCCTTGCATAGGGTGTGTGTCCCTGCCCACCTCTGGGCTCCTGTTCGTACTTACCACCCATATTGGGCTTGTCCCATGACCTTGTTGTGGCACCTCTACCCCAAATATGTCCTTGAGCTGTGATGTGGTGAGGATGGGCTGGTGAAGGTATATAACATGGAAGAGAGACACAGGAAAGGAGGGGCAAATTCAGGAGGGCTCTGTTGGCCCCACAGAATGTGTGCATAGTGTCCCAGAGCCCCTGACAGACAAGCAGGTGGAAGGGTCCCTCTCCTCTGCCAGGCCCTGGCACTGGCCACCCCTTCTCCCAGTCAGACAGGGTACTTGACTGAGGCCCTGACTCCTGGCCCCCAGCCAGTGCCTTGCCCTGTGCCTGCCCAGCTCAGCAGAGAGTGCTGAGCTGTGTAGCACATGCCCCAGAATAGTGCTGTGATGCTGCCGGGTGACATTCTATCACTGGGCCACCATGCAAAGTGGTGCCTCCCATCCCCAAAAGGAGAAATCTGGGGACATTGGGTTCCCCAGTGCCAGGCCAGGCGTAAGGACATAGTTGGGTGTGAGGAGTTGGCGCACACTGCCTCTGGGCTGTCTCTCCTGGGCTGTCACTCATAGCAGGCCCTGTTTTCACTATTTTTGTGCGTAACCTATGGCTGCCCAGGGAAGCCCCAGTTCCAACCTCCTGAGCTGGAAGCCCCTCCTGCAGGAGGAGGGGAAGAGTAGACTGGCTGGAGCCTGTGGCCACCTCAGCCTGTTGGACGGGCCTGCAGGGGTATTGTTCTGAGCACTGCCCTTCCACCCTGCCCTTTCCAAGGCAGACCCATGTCCCCGGTGAACAGGCTTCCCTAGCCCTGCCCTAACTCCTCACTCAGGAGCTGGTGTCAGCACACTGCAACCTGAGCTTGGCTCTCGTGGCACACAGTGTGACCTTCTGGGGGATCATATGGGGAACCAAGGCCAGTGCAGATAGGCACACATAGCACATGGCCCTGTTCCATGCCCCGCCCCTGAGAGTTGGCACTAGCATCATTGAGAGCCCCCAGACTGCACAGAGATAGATGTGCAGGCAGGGCCCTCCTGGGTTTCCAGACTGCCCTCCTGGCAGGAGTCTAGCCTGTCGTCTAGCCCGTGCTCTGCAGCTGGCATGTTCTTGGCAAACACTCCACTCTGGAAGGCCAGGTGCCACCTCAGGCCTGGTCTGCTTCTGGAGTCCAGTCTAAGGACAGCTGGGGCAACAGAAGTGCCTAGAAGGGAGGGGCAAGAGGTCAGCCTGGTTGTGAGGCCTCCTTGTCTAGCTCTGGACCTGAGGGTGACAAGGACCCTCCTTGGAGAGCAGGGAAAGCAACCAAGAGAAGCTCAAGGGCTCAGAGGGGGCAACAAAGAGGCAGAGTTGGAGAGACGGCCATATTGCACAGTGTTTCTTTAATTGAAAGACAACCACCGACCTCAGAAGCAGCCCCTCCTTGTGCTTGGTGTGACTGCTCACACTCCCCACCACAGTGGGGACCAGAAAGCAAGGGAGGGGGAGACCAGCCATCACGGGGTTACATGGGACTCTGTTGGGGTCCTGGGCCTCTCCTAGGGGCAGAAAGTCCCAGGGTCTGACAGGCCTAAGGCTCCCCTGCTGAGTAGTGGAGCAGGGGGCTGGACGTCTTCCAGGGCTGTCTGGGCTTGGGGGGCAAAGGCTGGGCAGGGTAGGCACAGGAGGCAGCTCCCCCTGGCTTAGTTGGGCAGGGGCTGGGCAGAAGCTAGTGAGACAGAAAGCAGATCAAGGAAGAGGGTCAGGGTATATGTGTGTGTGTGTGTGTGTGTACATGTGTAGCATGTATGCACATGTGTGTGCATGCACAGCAGGAGCTGTGGGGGTGGGAAGAGAGAGACGGAGAGAAAGATCCATAAAGGTGGAGGGGGGACAAGTCACTGAGTCCAGAGAGAGATAGATCTGAGGAAGCCCAGGAAGGACACAGAGCGGGAATGAGACAGAGAGACAGATGCAGAGATGAGGTGGGCTGGGGAGAGAGATAAAGAGAGAGGAAGGACTGGTCCCTGCGGGCCAGTAGAGCAAGATGCCTGGGATGAACAGACCGTGAGTTTTTTGAGTAGGAGCATGGGTGTTCAAGGTGACCAGGGGGCTGAGGAGGGTTGGAAACCTGGAAGTAGGTGAGAAGGAGGAATGCATGGCCTTGGCAGAGTCCACTGTATCCATCCCCACAGACCCCAGGGTAATTTTCCTAGGACTGGCTCCTTGGACAACTGGGCTTTTGAGTGGATAAGGAGAAAGCTTCATAGGGTGCCTTTGAGTGTCCATGGTTGGTGGCAGGGGCAGCTCTGAAGCCGAGGTGCATGTGATAGAGGCTGGGTCTTGTGCCTACCTGCACACTTGGGAGCCAGGAAGAGGCCATGGTGGGCATCAAGTTGGGGTCAGGGACCAATGGTGAGGGGCTGGGTTCGATGCAGCTGGGCACAGGCTTTGCTTTCTTGCTTTGCTTCAGAGTATCTGGCTATGATCCCCAGAGACCCCCACTGAGGCCACCATGGTGGCTGAAACTGCCTCTACTTTTTGTAGTTGCCAAACTGGATGGCCAAGCGGTCGGTGACGCAACGGAAGGTGGCGGGCTGCACCTCCCAGTATGGCACAGGGTTGTTGAAGAGGCTGATGCCATTGTAGTATGCCCGCTTCACCCCGAAGCCCACAGGGCAGAAGTCATTGACGCCCACCTTGGTGATGTTGTTGGAGTGCAGGTAGACCACCTGTGAGAAGAGGGCGTGGCCAATGCTTAGTCAGGACCTGTCCCCTCAGACTGGGTGGGCGCTGCTAAGTGCTGGTTTGGTCGAGGGCAGAGCCAGGGGAGCTGGGTTTCCCCCCACCCTGGGCTCTAGGCTTCCCTGGAGTCACTGTGTTGCCTCCACAAACGGGGGATGCACAGCAAGGCATGGGGCATGGACTAAGGCACTGGTGTGTGACTGGGACAGGGATGAGGGTCTTAGGTGGGGTGTGTGGTGGATGGGAGGTGAAGGTATGGGGTAGGGCCTGGGGTGCCAGGCCTGGCTCCAGGAAAGCACTCTCTCATTCCAGAGAGCTATAGTGCGCAAAAGGAGAAACATCCTTTGGAATGTCCTCCCCGTCCTTCCAGTCCTCAGGGGCACTTGCCCCCACTAGTCTCTGAAGCCACTGTTTTGAGCAGGGGCAGAGGGGACCAGCCAGACACTGGCTGGGTTGGAGCCTAGTGGTAGCAGAGAGGATGCTAGGCACTAGAGGGCGCTGGAAGGCTGCTGCGGCAGATCGGCTGACCCTGATGGGGCTGTCCTATGCGGGGTGCTGACCAGACGGCAGTGAGAGTGGGGTGCTCTTGCCAAGTTCACTCAGGTATCTGGCAGCCAGATACAGGGCTTGCACCTCCTCTTCAGCCCACTTCCTGCCCTGGGCTGTCCCTGTTTTGGCGTGGATCTGTGCACCCTGTTGTCCCGACCATTCTCCCAGCCCCCCAGGCCCTCCTCATCTTCCTGGTGTCCACTGCACCTATGAGACCCTCAGGCCACCTCTCGTCATCCTCCTCAGCATCCACCATGGAGTCCCTGCTCTCCTCCCCTCAGCCCAGATGGGAGTGCTGGGCCTGCTTCTTCCAGGCCATTCAGGGTAGGGGGAGAAGGGAGCCCAGATGTGCAGTCTCGCAGCCCGGGTGCAGTGCACCTGGCCCCTAAGGGTGCCTCGCCCTGGCCCTCACCTGCAGGAGCTTGAGGTCTGGGAGCCCAGCAGGCACCCTGGACAGCTTGTTGTTGTCCAGGTGCAGCTCCCGCAGGGTAGGCAAAAAACTTAGGCTGCCATTCTCGATCATGCGGATCTGGTTGTGGCCTAGGCCCAGCCTGCAACAAAGCAAATGAGACCACTTAGGTTTGAAGCTGGTGGGAACTGGGGCAGTGGTCTGGCCTGAGGGCACCCCCTCTGGCTGCACCTGTACAGCTTGGAGTAGCGGAGCAGATCTTCCAGCTCAATTGCCTGGATTTTGTTGTGGTCCAGATGGAGCTCGTTCAGGGTCTCAGGGAGATCTGCCCAAAAAAGAGGGTGCACTGGTATGAGTGCAGGTGCCCCAGGTGGTAGGAGGGGGCTGCCAAGTCCTTCTTCACGTAGCTGGGTGTATTCAGTGCCCCTGGGCAGGCAGACAAGAAAGGGTAGCCTTCCTACCTTTGGGGATGCCAGTAAGCTTGGCCTCTGAGATGCGCAGGTAGTTGAGCTTCAGGCCGTCAAAAGCTCCAGGTTCAAAGCCACTGTTCTCCAGGGGGTTTCCACCCATCTCTGTGAGAGAAGTCCCCTCAGCCCGAGAACCAGTGGCTGTCCACACACCCATCCCCCCACTGTTTTACCAGGCTAATTGTAGGCTCCTAGCTGTTCAAAGCTGCTGCCCCCAAGGGTACTGGGCCTGGTGTCAGCCTCTGGGGGCAGTGGGGGGCGGTGGCAAGTGGCAGGGGGAGGAGTGCCAGAAATGAAGATGGGACTCTCCAAGGCTACCTGGGCCCCTCTGGCTAGCACTGGTGGCTGAACACTGCCCCCGCACCCCCCGCCCCCAGCAAGGCCAACCATTCTTCACGTTCCCTTTAGCCACAGTGATCCATCCCTGCAGCAGAAGTTAGCTGAGAAATAGACCCTACTTTGTCTTGACTGTTTCAGAAGACTCTTGGTTTGGTCTCCCTTCCCCATGGTCCGAGACAAGTCGCCAGAATGTTCCGTGAGGACCACCCAGCTCCTCCATGGCTGTCCTGGACAGATCACTTTTCCTGGCTCCTTTCTGCCAGCCACTAGGGTGGGGACTGTTGCAAGGCTGGGCTGCACTTACCAATGCAGTTCATGTTGCGGAGCCCACTGAACACGCCCTTGGGCACCTTGCGGATGCGGTTATCATGGATGCGCAGCTCCAGCAGGGAGCTGGGCAGGTTGGGGGGGATCTCCACCAGGTGGTTCTTGGAGATGTAGAGTTTCTGCAGCTTCCGCAGGGGGCTGAAGGCCTTCTCATGGATCTTGGAGATCTTGTTGTTCACCAGGACCAGAGCCTGAGGCAGATTGGGCAAAAGAAGTGAAGGTGCTGGCTTCCCATCCCACTCCCCTGGTCTCCTTTCATTCCTCTATTGCCTGAGCTGCTATTGATGGTGCCCAAGGTGTCTGAGCCGCCAGTCTTTGAGTGGCTCAGTCTGTTTGAGGCAGGGCACAGAGCAGGGAGTCAGGCAGTGCCACTGGTGACTAGCATAACCGGCTGCTTCTCTGTGCCTCAGTTTCCCCATGTGCACACTGGCTGTATACAATAACACCTGTTCTCCTTTGTTGCTGGGAGGAACCAATATGGTTAGAAGGGAACTGAGCTGAGTGATGCCGTCCTGTACCTATGGGCGCTCTCACACATGCTAGTGAGCCATGACCACAGGGGGTCCCACCACATCTGGCTCCAGACTTCTCTCAGAACTCCATAGGTCATGGGCCACTTCCTGTCCCACATATCTGTGTACACACCCCCATCAGGCTTATGCCCCAGGCTGCAGGTCTGTGGACACCTGGCAGCTGCTTGGAGAGGGCTTCGCACAGGCACTGGAAGGGCAGCACTCACGTAGAGGTGCTGGAGGCCTTTGAAGTCATCCTTACGGAGCTCAGTGATGTCGTTGTTCTGTAGGTCTAGCAGCGTGGTGTCAGGTGACATTTCTTTGGGTACAGACTTCAGACCTGGGGGCAAGCACCACCACCATGAGCATGAGCATGGGGCCACCCAGCCTGCTAACTCTGCTGCTACAGAGGGCCAGGGACACACTCACATGCACACAGGGGCTCTAGCACACACAGGGACAAACTCCAGAGCCCACAGACAGAGGCTTGCTGCCCCTCTCGCTCTCAGCCTCGCATCACAATCCCCATCCCTGTCCATTCTCAGGAGGCAGACATGTGTTCCCCTTAGGAGGGGCTTTCCCTGTATACCTTCCCCCTACCACCAAGGACTGACCCAGGTCAGAGCATTGAACAACGCGTAGGTGGCAGTGGCAGCCGAAAGGACATATGGCACTGAAGGTGGGAGTGACAGAGTCCAGATCTGGAACCCCCGAGGTCGTGTCGGCACCTGACGCCTCTTCATCGTTCATCATGAGCAGCCCATCGTCCAGGGTGAAGTCCCAGAAACCCTTCTGTTCAAAGGGTAGGGCCCGGCTCAGGGCCAACAGTGATGCGAAGAGCCACAGTGGCTGCATGGTGGCTGTGCCTGGAGCCGGGTAGGGGGTGCCAACTGTCAGCTTCAGCCCTGCCCTCTGGACACCTTCCCACCCATCTTTCCAACCCAACACCAAAGCCCTGTGCCCACATCCCTCACCACGGACGGCCAGGCCAGACTGCAGGGCAGGAAGCCCAGGCAGGAGGGTAGTGCACTGCCCCGTTGTTGCCGGGTGGGGGGCGTACCTCCTCTTGTTCCTTTGCCCTTGCCTCCCTGCCTGGGTGGGACTGGTTTCCCTGGGCAAAGAGATACCTTCTCAAGTGGCAAGTCTGCAGCCCCACCCTGTGGAGCCAGTCTGCCCTGGGGTGGAGTCAGTGAGGCTGAGAAGAGGAGGCAGAGGGGGCACTCATTGCTGGCCCACCATGCCTTGAAGCATTCACTTCTCAGGAGACCACGTGGCTGCTCTGGCCAATCCCTCCTTAAGAGCTTCAGGCTCTGGGCAATGCAAAGTTAGTTGAGTTAGGCGACCATGAGTCATTTCCTTCCCTGCCTGTTCCTCCTTCCCCTGTGCCCACATTCCTCTGAGGAGGTCTAGAGGCCAACGCAGGGGTGGTGGGCTGGAAAAAGAGAGGGGTGTCCTCTGAGGCAGAGGGCAAAGTCAGCCAAGGCAGCTCCAAGCAAAGGGCCTACTGCTCCCCCTTTGGCTCACAGAGCCCTTCCTTCATGCCCATGGCCTCTGCTCCCAGAGAGGCCCTCGAGGGGAACAGGTTGCTGCCAGGGTGGCAGGACAGGGTCAGGCTTGTCTGGAGGCCCCCCAGACTGAGATACTGGGTGGGGGTGGAAGGAAAGCTGCCCTGCCCCAGCCTGCCTCCGGCACCCACTGGTGCCTGCTCCCTCCTCCTCCTCAGACACAGGCCCCCTCCCCTAGCCTCTCCTACCTCCCCCATCCTTCCTGATTCCCTGGCAAAGGCTCAGGTTTTGTCTCAGACTCACTTTCTCATCTGTTAAATGGGAATAAACATGCCTGCCCTGCTTACCTCTGGGGCTCAGCTGTCGGACTTGCCCTGGGTGCATCTGTGGACAGAGAGCCCAGCTGCACTAGGGACCTCTTGTAGGCCGAAACTAGCCCCATTCCAAGGTGACCCTCACTAAGGTGAGCCGCCTTTTTTTTTTTTTTAGTTGTTGGCCAGGGCTGGGTTTGAACCTGCCACCTCTGGCATATGGGGCCAGCGCCCTACTCCTTTGAGCCACAGGCGCTGCCCCGAGGTGAGCCTTCTGAGCCCAATTGCTGCCTGCAATGGTATAAAGGAGGCCCCAGGGTGTGGAGGGCTCTGAACCCTAGGCCAGCACCCTCTGGGCAGCTTAGAAGCCTGCTGCTTCTCAGGCAGGCCCAGTTGATGAGGGGGCTAGGCTGGCCACCAGGAGCTGCTGCTTGGGGATCCTGACTACCAGCAGGCTAGGAGCCTGGCTGGGTGTGGGCACAATCCCAGGAGAAGGTTGGGATAGAGGCTTATCCCACTGCCCTGCAGGTTTTCTTGGGTATGTTGGGGAGGCATCTGCCCATACACATCCCCAGGGAGGCCCACATGGCCTGCCCTGGCCCTCATTCACCACTGCTGGTGGACAAAGGGGCCTAGGGTGAAGCTGGAGCCATAGGCACTGCCGGGAGTGGAGTGGAGAGGCCTCACTGCAGCTGGCCAAGAGCCCTAGCAGGCCCCAGAGCCCAGGGCACAGGGCCATACAGCCAGGTGGGGTCAGAGCCTGCAGCCTAGCTGGACAGAGCCTCCATTACTCCTTCAAGCTTCAAGACCCCAGCATCACACTCCAGGGCCTGCGAGCTGCAGGCAGGCCTAGCAGCACCCAGAGCAGTGGCCAGAGGGTCTGACATGGAGTAGGCAGAAGGACCTGAGCTCACCTACCTGCAAGGAGCTCTTCCCCTTGGTTTGCTACCACCAGACCAGACCAGGCCAGGCCAAGCCAAGGCTTCCCATGCCTGCTGCCTCCACGAAAGGCCCTTGCCCAGGTGCCACTGGACTCCCAAGGGCTGGGGGGAGGAAGAGGAGTGGGGTGGGAGAATAGGCAGGGGATGAAGAAGACAGGAGAGCAAGATGGAATGGGAGAGAGGGTGAAGACTCCTTAGCCTCCTCCCTGCCTGACCCCCCTGTAAAAGCTGCTATTTCACAGGGGGTGTGAGTCAGGGCTGGAATGCCCAGCTGAGCTCTGGTAGGCTGGGTGCTCACAGTTTACCTGAACAAAGAGGGTGGGGGTGCTCCGGCCAGGCCCAGGGGAGGTTGTAGGGAGAGGCTTGCTTGGGGCTGAGGAGGGCTGGTGGGGACAGATGACCATCTACCTGCAGTGATAGATAGGTCTTCCCCCAGGGCCCACGTGTTGGCCTGGAGGATGTCTCTTCAGGGAACCCTCACTGGGGACAAGGAGTCTCCTCAGAGGGCACTTCTGGCAAGGCGAGAAGCCGGTTATGGAGATCCCTCCACCAGGGTGAGATTGGCCACTGGGGCCCCAGGTAGGTCCATGGAACCCGCGTTGGCAGAACAGGATGCTAGAGGAGGTATGCCAGTTCAGAGCAGGGTGCCTGGCGTAGTACAAAGTTTGGGAGAGGGACTGGGGGAGAGGCCAGCTCTCCTCCCTTGGTTCCAGCTAAGGCTTACCCTAAGGGGGGAGGCTGAGGACTTGGATGCCCATACACCAGGGCCCCATGACAGAAGCAAAAAGACAAGGTTTGGCTGGCTTTCCATGGCTTATAAGGTTGGGCCCAAGGAGTGGGCAGGCTGGAGGGGTGGAGGAACTGGGAAGGCCTCCCAGCACAGCCCTCATCTCCCCTCAGAGAACTGGCACAGAACTCAGTGCCCAGAACTCTGCAGGAGAAGGGGCAGGCCAGAGGCCAAGCTCACAGAGCCAGAGGGAGCCAGAGGACCCCAGGAGGAAGGCTCCCCTGTGGCCAGCACATTAGTATTCCCATTTCATAATGAGAAAACTGAGGCTTAGGGAAAAGGATTGACTTCTCCCAAGTCACTCAGCTTGAGACTTGGAACCTGGCTTTGGCAACTCCAGGCCTTGAGCTCCTCAGCCACAAGGTTCCTGGGAAGTTCTCTGGTCCCGGCTGGTTTTAAAGTGGGCAATACAGAGAACCCTGGGGGGAACACCTAGGTCTGGCAGTGGCTGGCGAGATTGGTGTAGACATGCCTGCCAACCTACACTGATCCCTTCCCACCAATGCATGTACACACATGGGTGCACACACATTGAAGAGGTAGGCAGGGCCACAGCCCGGAAGCAGAAGTAACACATGGATAGATGCTGTGAGTTCCATAGCAGGGCCCTCTTGTCCTCATCTCCCCCACCATTGGCCTCTGGGCCTCAGTTTCTCTTTCTTGGCCTCTCTTGGTGTGACCCCAAGGACTTAACAGAGGGCTTCCAGTCCCATGAAAGTGTGCTGTGAGCTCCCTGGATGCCACCTCCCCAGAGCAAAGGAAAGAAGAGGTAACTGGCGGGAAGCCTCAGGCCTCATGACCACAGGTGTGAGCAAGGGAAGAGGCTGGGCTCCCTGGAGCTGCTGCCACCACCCAAATAGGGCCCTCCTTGTCTGCCCCTCTGAAAGCCAGTGCAGTCCTCTGTGCAGGATTGCTCCAGGTCACTGCCAAACAAGAAGTGTTGGCAGCCTCTGAGAACACGGAGAGACCATGCCAGGCATTCAGTCCAGGCCAAGGGCAGCAGGAGCAGGACTTGAGGTCTGGCGGCCCCAGGAGTCTGCCTGCAGATGTGTGACTCGTGGCTGCCAAGTAGTGGACACTGGACACTCTCTTTGGTCTCAGCTCAGGGTGTCTGGCCCCACTGGACTACCTGACCTGAACTCTGACACAACCAGCTCAGCAGGGCCACTGGGGTTTACCCTTCTTCCTTCCCCTCTGACTACTAGAGCCCTCTGGGCCCAGCCTGTGCTCTGCTGCCCAATGGCTCTAGCTTGCAGGCAGGTGTCAGCTGGAGAGAGGGGTATGTGCCTTTCATGGCTGTGCTCAAATGTGGGAGCAGCTACCTAAGGAACTGGGGACTGGAATGTGGGGTGTATGCAAGAACTGCTCCATCTGCATCCCAGCCACACTGAGCCCCCGCCACTGCCCTAGTTTGCTGCTCAGGGTTAGCACGGTCTAGTGTGCTGCTGTGGGTCTTGCACTTTGATGACAGGCTGGACCTGGATGTGGGTATTAGAGGCTGCAAAGAGCTGACACCACGGAGGTGGTGAGGTGACCTGGTGCATCTACCCCTGACCCCACCCTTCTAGGAAACCTCTGGAAAGGAGTTGGGAAGCAGATGACCATGGTCAGCTGGGAGCCCTGGATTTTCTGGTCCCTCCACACCTGGACCTCCTCCTTCTCCCTCCTCACTGAGGAAATCCTAGGCTTCTCCTTGCTCCATACTGTCACCTCCCAGGGGTGGGGCAGGGAACTTAGCCCTAGCCTGTCCCACATTGACTATAAGAAGAAAGTGGTACTTTTACCACTAGACTAAGGGGTAAACTGAGGCTTTGCCCACAACTCCTGCCAAGGCCACATGGGGGTAAATGGTAGAGCTGCTCGTGTGCCTAGAACTGCCCTCTGCCACTGCAGACATTGCCATAAGCCCCAAAGCTGCCATGTCTCACATTCTCGGGTTGTACAGGGGGCTCAACTCCACCCCCAGGGTGTGGGAGAAGAATCCTTGGCAGCTCTCTCACCCTGGCTGGAAATACGCCGCTTCTCTTTGGCTGCCACCATCTGCAGCTCCCACTGCCCATGAAGCCAGAAAACCCTCCTTAGCCTCAGGACATTCGCCAGACCAGCCCGACCCTCTTGCCTCTGCCTCTGTCTACAAAAAGTCTCTTAGAAAAACCATCATCTTGGTGAAGGAACTGCCACCTCTGAATACTTCAGGGCCCCAAAGGAGGTGTTCTCAGCTTGGCCCCCAGATTCTGGAGACCTACCTGCCTTCTTCCCTATAGCTCACCCAGGGTAAGGGGGCTGGGGCCCTGCCTTCTGGGAAGAGAGTGGCCAAGCACCTGGGTGAAGAGGTTGGGGTTTCCTGCAGCCCCTCTCCTGCACTGGGTCCCCACCCTTTCGGGGTTCCTGTGAGAGTGTCTCCTTGCCGGCCAAGCAGGGACTGAGACTGCTAGAAGATAAATGGTTGCTGCACTGCCCTCCCAGACCTCCCCTGTCTTCAGGGACAAGGCTTTCTTCCTTCAAGTCTCACTTCTGCTCACAAAACACAGAATCTGCCTGTTCTGCCCTCCTTGGCCTTCTGACCACACCCAAGACCAAGCAGGTGTGGGATGCCTGGCAGCTCTGGGGGAGCAGGGGTAAATTCAAAGGTCCCACAGCATCCAGGCTGGGCCCCTCAGGCTTAGCCCAGGCCAGTGTTTCTGCTGAACTCAGATTTAAGATGCAGCAGACTAGGAGGGCTGTCTGCAGGAAGGCTGGCTAGAGCCCCCAGGTTTCTAAGCACAGGGAGGGGCAGGTACCTTTGCTGGGCCTGCCAGTGGGCAGAGGGCTATTCTGTAGCATTTGGGAGAGTTGGGGTGGGAGGTGCCCCTCCATGGACACCCCAGGAACTGTCCAGACTCAGAGCAATGAGGAGGGTTGTGAGAAGAAGGCAAAAAGTGGTGAGGGCCCTGGGGTGGTTTCCAGGAGTGTGGGGTCCCAGAGGTCATGAAGGAGGCCTGAACAGGCCCCTCTAACTGTGGATTGAGACAAGGAAAGGGATCTGCTGGCCCGGAAGGGGAAGGTAGTGTGATGCACAGCCTCCGCCTCCAGAGGAGGTAGCTCAGTGAGCCCCTGTACCTTCCCTATAGGACTCTGGGGAGCTGTTTTTTTCTGGTGGGCTAGAGAAGAGCCTAGCCTTGGGTCCTGCCAGTTAGGCTCAATGAGCCTCAGGCCAGGAGCAGGACTGAGCCACCCCATTGCAGCACAGCCTCCTCTGCAAGACCCAAGCCTGCGTCTGGCTACAATTTGCGGAAAGGGCTTTGTGGGTGGCCAAGGTGTGGCCCCTCTGATCTACCCTAGCCTAGTGTCTGAGCAGAAGAGGACAAAAAGTGGGGATACCAGACTGCCCCAGACCCCAGACAGTAGGATGGGGAAAGAGCCAGCAGGATCCCATGCTGGCCTGCCTTCAGAAGGAGCTGCTGCTCGCCCGCACCCCATGGCCCACAGCCCACGTCAGGGTGAGGGGGAGAGACACCATCACCCCCTGGCCCCTCCGCTGAGAAAGACCCCTGGCTGGAGTGTCCCCTTCTCACCAGTGGGGCTGCTAGGGCTGCTGGGCTCAGTGGCCAGGCTGGAAGCTGGGGGAGGGAACAGCTCAGGGCAGGGACTCAGCTTTCCTGCTCTAGGGTAACCAATGAGGAAGAGCTGAAGGGGGCTGTAGAGTGCTTGGGAAGGCCTTTCTGACAGTCAGGGTGTGGGGGGCTGGTCGATGCCCAAGGGTGGTCATGCTGGGAATCCTGTGTGGCTGTGGACAAGTGATTGCTGAGACAGGCTGGTTCTAACAGGAGTGGAGAAGGATGGTGGGGAGTGGACCCAAAAATCAGGGGAGTTGGAGGGGTTCTCATGTCCACCCAGCCTGCACAGGGTGCCAAGGAATCAGAAGCCCTGACAGAAGACTTTAGGTGCAAACTGTTAAGTGTGTGTGCTCATTACAAATCCTTCCTCAGGGGACATGATGCTATCACTGGGAGGGACATGTTATGGACTTATTTGAGTGACTATGGAATGTCAGTAAGGAAAGGAAACTTTCTTGCCTTGATGACATCCATTTTCTTTCCATCTTTCCCACGAGTGACTGACCCTCCAAGAGCAGTGGGCTGCTGGGAGGATTGAGTAGAGGTTTGGCCAATGTTCATATGTTACCTCATTTGGTGGTCAGGGGCTGGCACCTTGACTCTTTGGGCCCCTAAAATCAGCCAGTGTGGAAGTGCTGGGAAAGAGTGGGGCCTCAGGCTCCTCACCTCCACAGAAGCAGCAGGAGGTTAACCCTGCTCCTGGGGGCTTGGGGGTGGGCAGGTGGGCCAGGGAGGCCAGGGCTACCACTCATAGCTGACCAGCTTGCCTTAGGAGCCCTCTCTGCTCCCTGGCCCTGCTGAGGCTGTCCTGTGTCTTCCTTTCAGTCCACCCACAGGCCTGCTGTACACAGGCATGCTCCACATACAGGGTCCCCTACTCGTGTCTCAGCTCTCCCAGGGTATGCCTGGCACCGGAGGCTGTATGTCCCCAGAAGGTGCTCACCTGCACCCCTGGATGCAAGTCCCCAGGAAACTTCCTGGCCCTCAGCATCTCTAGCTTGGCATATCCCGATTAGCTGCTAAAGGCAGAGAGCTGGCAGGCCAGGGAGGGGCAAGGACAGAGGAGTTGGGGGGGGTTCTGGAGGACCTAAGTGGCCTGGCTGGCCAGGAGACAGGACAGCAGGCTAGAGGGCAATCTTCCTGGCCTGAATGGGATCTGCCAAATCTGCCCCAGGTCACCTGTCCTGTTCAGCAGGCACCCAGCCCTGCCCAAGGAACAGTGAGGAGTGCTCCTATCCCCCAACCTTCCAGAGCACTCAGTGGATACTCTCAGTGCTCTGTCCCCTGGGTCTCTTGGAAGGCCCCTCCAGGGCCCTAAGCCAGGTCTGCCCAAGGGAACATGGCATGGTTTCCTGATTTTTGTCTCTTCCCTTCCCCTATCCATTCTTAGTCCCAGTCCAGGGGGTTCTGGAGACGACAGGACTGAGTCCCCAGTCAGCCTCACTCAGGGCCCCTTCACCCTGGGCTTTGCAGACCCACACCTTGCCCAGGAGGAGCTAGAGGCAGGGCATCAGCCTGGGGTGAGTGAGGAATATCTGGGCAGTATGTTTGGGCGTGCCTGGGAAACCAAGTCCCTCAGCCCACACTGAAGACCAGCTGAGGCCCAGGTCTCCTGGGCTATGCTCCGCAGGCAGGCACTCAGCAGCCCTCCCCACCAGCCAGGCGCCAAGTCGAAGAGCAAGGAGGCGCCTGGGCAAAATGCGTCCCGGGAATTGTAGTGATGGGACAGAGGTATTGGCAAAACCGGGGTGCTAGCCACCCAGTGATGCTCTGGGGTGGCAGCAGAGAGGAAGGACCCTGAGGGGGAAATGAGACAAGAGATGGACCAGGCTGGGCAAAGAAGGTCAGAGGGGCTGGAGGAAAGGCGCTTGGAAGGCGGGGGTGGGGGTGGGGGTGGGGGGAGGGGGCAGGGGGGAGCAGGCAGGAAGGACAAGGAGCCGGGGGCCACAGGGTGGGGATGCAGGGTGTCCTGGGGTGGGAGAGGGATGCATCTCCCGGTTGCCCAGGGCAGCTTGAGGCCAATGTGGGGAAGTGGGAACAGCGCAGGGGTGGTGCAGGGCCCTACCTGGGGAGGGGAAGTAGCCAGGCACAGGCTGGCTAGTTGGCAGGCTGGGATGGAAGGCCGTCTGTGTGTCTGTCCGTTGTCGGGCGGACTGAAAGCAGTGCTTGCTCTTGGGCAGTTGGTGGAGAGAGGGAGACGAGACGGAGGCGGCAGGAGGGAGGCTAAAGGCTGAGCAGGCGGGCCGGCGGGAGGGGACAAGGGAGGCGGTAGGGAGGGAGGAAAGGAGGGAGGGGGCTGGTGGGGCGGAGAGGGCTGGCGGTGGTGGGAAGGAGGGGGCAGGCTTCTGGGGGGGGCCCTGGCAGCTTCAAAGGGAGCAATTTTCTTGTAGACGGCTGGGCTGGGCTGGCTAGGCTGGCTGGGCTAGCACCCCCTCCCCCGCCTCCCCCCACCCCACCCCCGCACATAGCAAACGGACACATACTCACATTCCCACAAGGACCCTTGGTGTCTCTGGGCAGGCACAGCCTCTGAGAGTCAAACTTTCCACTGCCCAGATGGGGACACTGAGGCGCTCACTGGCATCCAGCCCAGCAGAGAAAAGAGACAGGGAAGAAAAGAAAGGAAGATGAGGGGGAGGTGGCCTTATGTTTCTAGGCCTGGGAGCGGCCCCTGGGATTCTGTACTGAACTCACCTGGAACCTGCCTCATCTGGGCCTAAGCAAGGAGGTGGTGTCTCCAGGATCAGAGAGGTAGCTACTATGGGTTTCTGGAAGGGTTTGCTCTAGGCTCTTGGGCTCTCTGCACCACCCTCCCTCCCACCCAGCCTTTCCTCCTGTAAAGAGAGGCAAGACTCTCCTCTGTGGGATAGCAGGATGGGGCCCAGCAGGGGGCTAGCAGGAGGGCTCCACAGATTCTGGGGTCTTCCCTAGTCTGCCTGCTCTGAGGCCTTGGAGAAGCTTCAAGTGGGAAAGCTGATTCAAAGAAGAGGAACCTTGGGAGTCATCCTTCTTGCTCTATCCATGCAGGTCCCCTAGGACATGACAACTACTCTGTGGGTGGGCATTTCCTCTGACTGAGCCCTGAGCTGCTGGTCATTTACAGGGGCTGAATGGGTCAGCCAAGCCTCAGCCAGGCCACCTCCTGAGACCCAAGCGAGTCCAGCCCTGCCTATGTCTAGCGCCTAGGTCCTTAGCATGGCATGTCCTTCTGCCCAGCAGTGCCCTGTTCCTCCCCTGGCAAGAGCAGCTTCTGAGAGATAAAGGTGAGGCCTGAGACTGAGTGAGGGACCGAGGTAGGAGTGACACTGAGGTTTTCAAAAGGAGAACTAGGGACCCAAGAGAGAAAGCTGCACAATAGGAAAAAAGGCTTAAAAGTTTTTGTATCTCTGCCCCCACCCCTCCCCATTTCTCTGCTGGGTTTGGACCCAGATGCCAACATGGATAAACATGTCAGCACAGACTAGAAAGAAGGTCCACAGCATGCATGGAAACATTCTGCTCAGTGGGAACAGCCAGCCACAAAAGGCCACAGAACATCTGCTTGCATTCACTGGCATGTCCAGGATAGGCCCATCTATAGGGACAGAAGGCAGATTTGAGGGAATGAGGGGGGATAAAGAGGTGATGACTAAATGTACAAGGATTTTTTTTTTTTAGGAGATGAAAATGTTCTAAAATTAATGGTGGTGATGGTTGCATGGTGCTATGACTATGCTAGATAAAATCCATTGACTTGCACTTGTTAAATGGGCAAAGTGTCTGCGACACTCACTGTGCCCCAATAAAGCTGTTCCAGATGAGGTGAGCCCACTGTCTGGGGAGTGGGTATGGAGTCCCTGCCTGAGCCTGATGTTCTGGCAGGTGTAAAACAGCCTTGAGTATGAGTATGGCAGTTGGGGCTTTGCTGAGGAAAGGTCTAAGGCAGTGGGAACCCAGGAAGGAGGCCGCCAACTGCCCCAATCTGTGGGGTCCTGGGGCTGGGCCAGGTGCCCTGAGGGGGGCTGGGGTGCTCTGGTTTCTTACCTCCCAGGGCATGTACCATGCCAGAAGCTCAGAAAGCTTACTTGGAGGTGACCTGCAGCAGGCGCATAGAAAAGAAGGATATTGCCACTGGAAGGAAGAGCACAGGTGAGGTGCAGAGGTTGTGGGGTGCCATGGGAACAGGTGGCCCTCTGCCATCTCCATCACACAGATCTTACCCTTAGTCTCAGGCAGGTACCTTCCTGTTGGGTGCAGAGGACACATTATGTACCTTGGAGCTTTTGGCTGCATTTGGGGGATGCTTCTGGAGCAATACTTCTGTAAATACGGTTCTTGGGCCTGGAAGGTTCTTCTGTCTGCGGTTTGCAGTCTGCAATAAGCCATAACTGCACACCCAGCCCAGGGCCCACTGAGTCACTCATCCTGGCCCTCTAATTTGGGGGCCACTCCCAGACTAGCCAGGCAGCACCTCGCTCCTTGGGCCTCCCTCTATTACCCTCCCCAGGCCTCTACTGTCCCCAGAAGTACTGATGAAATCAGTGCATCCTTGCTGGATAGCAAAGCAGGCAGCCTCCTGCCCTTCTGGCCTCCCAGGGCTGGGAGGAGGCATGGGGAGAGCAGGCATGGGGGGGGGTGAGGCAGGAAGGAAGATCAGGCATTTCCTGAGGCCCCCAGGGCTCTTGGGAAGGAGATGACACACACAGCTGTCTTAGCTTCCCGGGAACCAGGGCAGACAGGACACAGAGGAGGGAGAGGCAGAGCCCAACCCCTTCAAGCATGGCTTGTATGTGATGCTGGGACACCACTGGATAGGCCTCCAAAGCTCTAGCTAGGATACATTCCCCAAAGGGCTGCAGACGGTCAGGAGGTACTTGCCTCTCGGCCAGGAGTCCCCTTCTGCTCTCTAAGGGCACCAAGGACTCAGCTCTTTCCACCTGAGAAAAAGACCACTCATGTGTGATGAGGGCAACCCAAGTGGCCTGTGTAGGCTTCCAGGGGAAATTGTCCTGTGCCAGGTATCTGCCCCTATCTGGGCACCAGGGCCACACTGCTGGCTCCCCACTCCAAGCAGTCAGCCCTCACCTGGCCTTGACAGGCGCTGCTATCCTAGCTGCCTGAGGAACACGCCAGGGCAGGTGTGGGCCAGCAGCCAGTGGGGACAGTCCTGAGACCGGAGGGTAGGGCAAGGACATGGCAAGAGGGCCAGCAGCTCTCCGAGGCTCCCTTTCCTAGTCAGGGGAATCTAAGCTACTTGCTATCATCCCCTTGGCCTCTGTACGGAGCAGAACCTGGAGTCAGCTGCAGCCATCCCCCCATGGCTGGCTTGCAGCTGTTTGTACCCTGGCTTCAAACGAGATAGGAGAGGCTCAGGAAAGAAGCAGGGCACACCAAGGGCAGGCTGAGAACCCCCTAGTCACGTGTTGGCCTTTGGTGCCAGTCCTGGAGGGCAAGGCCTCAGTGCCTGGGAGGTGGCCCAGTATGCATAGACTCCTATGGGCTCATGGAAGGCCCCCTATAGAGGTGGCAGCAGCTGAAAGAGCTCCCTGCTGGAGCCTTAGCCCGTCCACCTGCTTGTCCCCTGTCTCTAGGGCCTGGAAAGAACAACCCAGACCTGGGCTTCAGGAGCCTTCTGCCCTGCTGCCCCTATTCTCTATGGTTGGATACTTGTAGAACCCTTCTGTCTATGCATACGACACCTCCCCTTCCCTGTCTGTACTGGTGGTGCTAAGGGAAGGGACAGAGAGACAGAGAGAAGAGCCAGGCAGGAGCGGGGAGCTGCAGCAAGCCATGCCTCAAGAAGCAAGGTGACCAGGTGAACAGGTGTGATGAGCACACACAGGACAAGGGGTCTCTGTCATGGGAGTAGCCTTATGCCTCAGCCTCCAGGACACTCCCACCCAAGGATATGCCACACACACCTTTGGCTTCTTGAGCAAGTGACCCTGCCCAGAGCAGGCTCACTCCCAGCCTGCTGGCTTTGTCCTTGCCCAATGCCCACATGCTCAGGGCTGGGCATGGGCAGGGGAAGGCACCCTTCCTCCACTTGAAGGTCTCTTGAATGATGACCTGGAGGCCTGAGGTAGTGTGAAAGTGACACTCAGGGGGTGCTCTGTGTGCAGGGATGAGGGCAGTTATGGACATGTCCTGAGGACAGCTGAACTGGTGCTGAGTGGCCAGAGCCTCTGCTATCTGGAAGCTTCCCAGTGCTGGATGACTGAGGTGTGGCTGTTGAGTGCTGGCACTCTCCATGCCAGGAGCTTTTTTTGACCTTCCCCCGAGTATATAATCACACAGCATCTCTCCCTTCTGGGCCATCAGGGCTGTAATTTCATGGCCTGAAGGGGGCTCTGAGGAGGCTTGGCCTGTGCATGTGGCTATCTTTAGAGAAGCATGGTCTAGGGTGTGGCCAGAGGGAGGCCATGAGGTACCTGGGGACCCCATGGTCTTCCCTTGGGGGAGGCCAGACCCCAGGAGCAGAGCCTGGCTCTGCCTATTGTTTATAGAGCAATCTTTGGCCTAGGAGAGGCCAGCACCTGGTCTGAGGGCCTGACAGTCCAGTGTCTTCCAGATGGTCTCTGTGGGGCCACTCATCCCGGGCCTGCTTCTCCTGGAGGAGGGGGCTCAAAAGAAGCTTGCCAAGACACAAGCATAAGGCAGAAGGGAAGGTTTGGAACAGGACCTAGGGGCCAGCAGGGAGCCCAGAGAGGGGGCAGGATTCTGGCATTGTGGCCTGGAGAAATGGAGCAGAGGTACAAGTTCCTGCTGAGGTCCCTAATAGGAGACATAGGCCAGCCCAAGGAGTGCCTGGCTCCCTGTCCCCCTAATCCATCCTTGACCTTGTCAGCCTTCTTTGTGCCCCTGCTGATTCCCACTGTCCTTACTCTCAGTCCCACCCCTGTCACCTCAGTGTATATCTGGGAACTGAAGAGTGCCTCCTTTCTTGCCAGCTGGTCCCAGTCACTCCTACCCTGTTGTCACCACTACTACAATTGTGACTACAAAGTCCTCTTAGATGCCCAGTGCTTTGGGCTTCCTGATTGGACTATACCCACTACTGTACCCTTGGATGGAGCTAGAACCTGCTCAGAAGAGGAGCACAATAAGCACTGCTCCTGTAAGCAGTGGTGGCAGTGAGTGGTGGATATAGGAGGGTGACGTGTGGGGAAGAAGGGATGGGTTCTGGGTTCTGGGCAGCTCTATCCTGC